GATTCGTTCCAGCACTTGTCCTTCCAAACAAGATCCTCGAGGTCACTGTACATATGTGGTCCCCTGGACTGCTGGTACCGCATCGAGCTCGAAATATGAGTCCCCGACCTCCTCTTCGCTGCAGCACTTGTCCTTCCAAACAAGATCCTCAAGGTCACTGCTGTCGCTCAAGTCGGAATCTGAGAGGTTTTGGGGAATCCTAGATCTTGGAGCCTTTGCCAATGTCCTCTGCCTCCTCTTCTCCTCCTCCTCCTCCACAGCATCCTCCACACGGCCTAGCAACACTGATCCATCATCGGGCACTGGCTCCTGATTGGGCTCGAAGAAGGATCCCCACACATCTATGTACCCGCTGTCCTTGTTGTTTGGAACACACAGCAACTGCATGTTCCAATGCATGTAGACCAGCTTCTCGAGGGACTCAGGCGACAAATGGTTCCTTCTCTTTGAGTGGACGAAGTCCATGGATGCCCAGTTTCGCTCAACGGGGGTGCAGTGCTCCACATGCCCATGACCTTAACAGCAATGGACTGAAGAGCTGGAACATCCCCGCCGTGTGCTGCCCACCAGTCCGCACGGCTCAGCCGTGATTCATCATCCGTCGCAACTGTTCTCCACATCCTCTCATCTTTGCAGTCATTCTCATTCCCACCAGGCTTCTTGTGGAACTTCCACAGATCCCCCCACATGTCTGAATGTTTCTTGCTGTCCCACTCCCCCCCTACCTGCCTCGAGAAGAAACGCATTGCATTCTGGACCAATTCGATGTCAAGGAGCCAAAGTGGTTCTCTCCGCATCGGGTCTAGGAGGAATGCAGCTGCGTGCACTGGCTGCCTCATCATCTGCATGCGACCGTTGACCTTCAGCATCACATCATCCCGCTCCTTCCTCGTGAGCATAACATTGGTCAACTTACGACCAATGAGGTCGTCATACTCCACGAGGTTCGTAGGTGAAGTGCCTTCTGCGTCCATCCTTTCCAGGAGGCTGTAGACTGGTTGCATGATAGACACAATCTTCTTCACCTTCGCCCACCAAGACTCCGACTTCGCAGTGTAGTATATTCCTACGCAACTTCTCCCCCGACCATCTCAATGCCCTCCACTTCCCTGCCTCCCTTCCATCCACCATCTCTGTCTGCCAGCCGCTGCATCATCATGTAGACAGATCCAAACCGGACCTCAGTGGGGCGCAGCAAGGCCAACGAGTCATCGATCGACATCATCAATGCGTGGGTGGCATGATAATTTCTGATGAACTTTATGATCATGTTAGCAGTCTTCACAGTTTCCTCGATCCATGGCAGGTTGCTCAGATCCTTGAGCACAAGATTGCAACAGTGCACCCCGCAAGGAACCCAAGGGATCATGCCACATCCTTGTCCTTGCGCCGCTCAAGGATCTGTGCCGCCTTTTTGTTGACCTCCGCGTTATCTGTGCAGATGGCGTTGATGCGATGCAAACCAATCTCCCTCGTCACCTGCTCCCACAACCTCACCAACGCCGCGGCATTCTTCCTCCTACCTGTCATTGTGACCGTCGCCACAAGCACCGCCCCTTGTTCCCCGCATGCCAAGAAGTTCATCACTGGTCGATTATTGCGATCAGTTGACCCCTCAGTGATGAATGTGCATCCTGAGGAGTCCCAACACTTCGTTAAAGGCTCCACCGACTTCTGAATCTTCGAGTAGATGACGTCCAACATTACCGTCCGCATGTGCTTGTATGAAGGTAGCTTCACTTTCGGCCTGCCCTAAAATGGCCTCCGCCCATGCAATATCCAACCTCCTCTGTGCGTCATTGTCCACCCACCGGTGTATGGTGCTCTGTTGTTTGACGACCGTTCGAACAGTCGATCCTTGCCCCTCAACTGTGTTTGGACCTCTCCAGCACAATCCCCCTCAACATTCTCGTCAAGTGGAGCAGCAAGCATGGTAGCAACACCAGCAGCGGACTGCCCTACAATAGGTGATGGTTGTGGCTCGTCGAAGTCAGGGGTATCCAAGCCGTCGGCTCCAGAAACTGCAAGGTTATGAACAGTTCGGGATTCGCCAACCTGCCCTTTACAGTTCTTCAACAGGTACTTGGTGCACCGGCATCAACCAAAGTACGAACTATCTCCCCTGTCCACATTGCACACAGCTTCATGATTTTAAGAAAATGATCGACAGCCTTTGAAGCCGAACCCCTGAAAATGACGGAGCACATCCTGCACCTGATCCAATACTCCCGGAGACCTTGTTCTTCTTCTGCAACTTCATGTGTTCTTTCTCATCGTCGGGCTGGAACAAACTCGGGTCAGTTCCAGGCGTAGCCTCCCTGGTTTCAACAGTCGCAGTACAAACCGTGGACTTTGTTCTCTGCGTGGAAGAAGAAGAATAGACATTTTATATTTTTTGAACAAAATTGAAACCTACTTATTTGGCCCTAAAAATGTTACCATTCTAGCTCATAAGGGCCCTGCACTTTTAGAATGCCGGACCCTCCAGGAGCTAAAATGGTGATATTTTAAGGGCCATTCAAAATACACAAAATGGGCATTTTAACAAAATAGTTGTTTAATGCCTCCTCTCGTCTTCTCTCCACCTCCATCATCATCATCGACATCACTCACAAAGTACTCCTTGTTAATATAAAAAACGATAACAATAAATGAATCAATACCCGAAAGGTCTCACTTACTGCCTTGCAGCAAAACTCCCCATCTAGGATTCTCTCCATCTCTCTACTCCACCTTGCTGAGCTGGCAGCTATGGCAGTTCATCTTGGTCATGCCCAAATGTTCAAAGGACACTGCAACTACTCCCTATGCTTCTCCCTTCATAGCCACCCTCCATGGACGAAGGCCAAGTCCGCAGAGTCTTCCTGATGCAGCCCGAGCCAGGTAAGTGAAGGTGGAGCTCCACCATAGCCAAACGCAAGGTATTCTCATCGTTCCCTCCCTCCTCTTCCCGTCCACTCTCTCCCTGCTAACTCCATAGCCCGATTTCGGCTTCTACTACTACTCCCCACTTCTCCTTCATTTCCACCATAGCCAGGTAGCCCTGGTTGTCACCCTTAAGCTCCTCCTCCACCACCTAGGACTCTGCCAACCTCTCCTTCTGGGTGGAGGAGGAGCATGACTGCCATCGCACCGAATGATATACTCATGTCTCTTGGCCTCCAGTACCTTTATTCCGGGTAGTACGTTCCTCTACCGGGGCACTAGGCCTACCAGAAAGTTCCTGCCTTTTCGCCAAAACATCATTGCAGCCTGCAATCTGTCCCAGGGCCTGAATCTCACCTAGTATCCGTCTACTTACAGGCCAGGCACCATCATGACCTTTTGGAAGCTACCGGACTTTCTCCTAGGTCTACTGGACCTACCAGAGTTGCTGGGAAATCATACAAGCTCTCAGACAAAGTCTACAACTGCCTCCAGCCTTCTAGAACTTCCGATAAGTCCCTCTGTAGCCAAATTTCGGGTCTGTCCCTTTAGCTACACCTATCCGTTCCCCTACCACTGTCTGAGGCACAAAAACACAGCATGGACACCAAATTTAGCACCGGGACACAGACTTAGACACAGGCAAGCACACGACATACATACATCTGCAGCAGGTCACACAGCACAATAGATTAGGCCCAGGCAAGCACACGGCAGCCATACATCTTCAACAGGTCACATGAGACCTGGACTCGGAGATCTCAGCCAAATAGATTAACGACAGCACGATTTTGCAGAAGACGAAGACATCTCTGTCCATTATTGTGTGGGTCATTGCAATTGTCATTACATTGCAGTGTCTTCTGAGTCAAAGAAATTATCTCACTAAAATTGGCAGACATAGTATTGTTACCGTCAACGTATCATCATGGTCACTTGACAGACAAAGGCATCAACGGTGTTTAGTCGTGCTGCTGTTTAGCACTACTGCATCTACCTTCTTAACCAAAAAGAAATAAAATGTACACCGTACATTACATTCAACCAACCTCTGAAGAGCAGGTTTCCAAGAAATCGCTGTTTTCTTTTCTCAAATAGAACATACTGCAAGGATTGAGCCCTCGAAAGGCCCCACTGGCACAGACGTTCAGGGCTCAACGCCCCAGCAAGCCTTGCGCCCGCCCTAAGTGAAGGCGGGCCTGCATAATTGCGTGCAGCCTGCTTTTGCCATTTTTTGTATGGGTATCAGACAGTTGCAGCACGCCAGTTGGTTAGAGAGCAACGTGCGCCCTCCTGGCTCCTTCCAGAAGCAGCAGCTGCATTGTACAGTTGAGCCCAGGGCTCATTCGGTTGAGGCCCTGGGCCCACGTATCCAGAGGCCGACATGTCACGTAGCGGCCGCGGACCAATGAGAAACCAGCTCCTGCGTCACACACATGCCACGAGCCAATGAGATTGGGCCGAACACTTGGAGCCTCGTGGGCTAACTGGACGTGCCTAACTGTACGAGGCCCAGGCCAGTACCTGAAACTGGGCCTGGGCGCAGATACTTAAGGTCAACCTGAAGCTACTGGGCCCCTACACGCCAGGCCCAGACCAGTCAGTGGCAGGGCGCCCTTTCCATAACGGAAGTGTGCGCCCATGGGCAAGGCATTATGGCCTAGGCAGGCAAAGTGGCTGCGCTGCTGTGATAGCGCTAGCCGGCCAGACGCGCACATGGGCGCAGAGGTGAAAGAGGGGCGCTGCTGACACAGCAAGCGCACGGCGGCCATAGCCGGGACCCTGGGCGCAGGCGCGGTGATGGCGATGGTGGTCTTCGGGTGGGAGGCGCATGCAGTGGGGGAGACAGGGTGTGATGAGGGGAGGAGAGAGTAACGTACCTGGTGTATGCTGGCGGTCTGCATTGGTGATGACATCGCGTACATTGGTCTTCAACTTCGATGTGATCTGGATGCATGAACGTAGATAGGCTAGATAGGCTTAGTGTAGGCTGGGCGCTGGGCACCGATCTGTAGGAGCGACATTGGATACTATGTTGGTGTGCCCAGAGAACGTCGGCATTGACATTTGAGTTCATTGTATTGCTCTTATTTGGATGGTATCTTGGTGCACTGTGCTCTCTGCTTGGTACATGACTATCTGGACTCCAGCGTGATTGTAACGAGCGTGAGGCTGAGGGTGAGCCGAGGGAGAGGAGAGAGAGAGGGAGAGAGTGAGAGCACACACACACACTCACTCACTCGACACGACGGACTCGGACTGAGGGTCGGACGCAGACACAGTGGCAAGGCACAAAGTCGAAGTCTTGGATTCCGAATGCCGAAACAGCAAGTCACACTGAGTACGAGTACAGCAGCAGAAAACTGGTATGAGACTGGTCCCCGTACCGTACGGGGAGCCGGTATAAGTACCAGTGACACGTACGGTACCAGGGGCATTTCTGAAAAGGCCCCGAGGGCAGAACTGAAAAATGCGGTATTTGAAAGTGGCGCCCGAATTGCAGCATGGCGCCAGTTGTCCAAAATCCTACGGTACCAAAGGAGGGGTTTGGAAAAAGGGTGCCAGGCCGAAAACAGGATGCAGCCGAAAGATCGAGCTCTGGCGGAGTCCATAACACTATCCCCTCCCTCTAGAAGGCAACGTCCCGGCTGCCAAAAATCATGAAGCAATGCTGAAATCTGTGAAGGACAGGACAGGGCCGATCACTGGTTAACAAGTCGAAAGGGAAGAGGGGTATAATGTGGGTGGCATGGGCTGCAGGAGTAAGAGGGAACAGGATTTGGTACCGGTGAACAGTTGTCCTACTGATGAACTAGGGGGGGTTGCA